CACGCTTCCCATTCAGGACCTGCTGTCTAATAACTGGACAGGAGAAGGAAGATACACAGTGAAGCAGGTAGAAGGAAACACACCACACATAAAGCATACGTACACAAGCACGCACATGTACAGGCGTGCACACACACATGCAGACCCATGGGCGGACGGCACTGCTGGGGGAGGGGGCAGCAGGGTGTCTGGCTCGATGCGGACAAGGTGGCAGGCGGCCCAGTGGGGGCAGCAGAGAGCAGGGCTGAAGAGCAATGCAGAGGACTCACGCGAAGAAACGCAATATTAAGTGACGGCCGGTGGCGAGGCAGAAGATAAACTGTGGAACTGAAGCAATCGGAGACGGGGTGGAGCTATCAGAGCAACCTGACAGTCAAGGGGCGGGGAAGTGTGGCTGCCACGGCAACGATGACGGCTGAAGCCATCGGCCAAGGCTGGCATTTGCCGGAGGATGGGGGTGGAGAAGCGGCGGGCAGCGGCCTGGTCCACACAGACACTCAGCAAGAATGGCAGACACAGCTGGGCTCCGTGGCATCGGCTTTGGCCCTCAGCACGGTGCACTGCATCTAAAACGTATCTTGCCGCGAAGCGCACTATGACAACCTAGCGTGCTACAAACGACCCCACCCCGGGGGCCCTGCTACCCCCAGGACCGTTCCCTCCTGGCTAAAGCTTCTAGAGAAAATGACCTGTACAGAAAACGATTAACCAGGAAAAAAATTATAGGCTTCCGATAAGATTCAAGAAAACCCTCAGCCAATAGTTGTTGCAGAGATAATTGTTCTGAATCTATCGATAAAGCTAAGCTGCCCCTTCATTGACTGCAAACACCAATTTCTTTCACCCAGGATTATAAGTCGGTGTTCCTGGGCTCACTACTGCCATTACAGTGATAAACAGTTTAAACCACAACAGGATCTGACATGGAGATCAATTCTGGGTCCATAAAGAATCTACACAAGAGGTTTCAGGACAGGAATTTATAGTCACCAGTTTTTATTCTCTCTTGCTGCAAAAATTACTTCTGTCAAACACTTAGGAGAGTGAGAAAAAATGTAAAAAAATTAATTTTTCATGTACTACCGGAGCAGCCCTTCTCAATGCAGCAGAAGTGCAAGATGAATATGTGCTGCATTTAAAAAATTACGCCGAGCAGCATGTGGCACTTGGCGTGGGTGGGATCCAATCCTCTGTGCTGCTTGCAAGCCAGCAGACAGCAATTTGAAACCCTGAACGAAGCTGTCGGATTTCCTCTGAGGGCAGATGCGAGGCTCATGTTAGCGACGCCAAATTATATTAGACGTTTAATTTTAAACCTCAGGTACTTAAATGTAAAACCTTATAACAGTAATAGTCATAAAGCGGTGGGGCATTCCATTTCACGGAATGGATTCTTCTTCCCTTAATTTAGCCAGCACCTCCTGTTTCTTGGGCAAACGCCCACTACAAAGTCATCTATCTAATTAGGAGTTGCTCCCAGCTGTTAGAAGGCCAGCGCCCCAGGGGTACCTGGGTGGGGGAGTAAGGGGGATTGAAAAGTTCTCTAGAGCCCAAGTCTTAATTTAGGGTGGATATGGGGGCAGAGAGAAACCGAATCATAATGCTGCTGTTAGCACTGGCTTTATAAGAAAACCGGGTGACAATGGCAGGCGTACCCAGCCGCGTACAGACGTGCATGTGCTGAAGCTGCCTAGCTTTCCCCTCCACTGATAGCAATGAGCTCCTGACTCCGAAATCCAAAGATGCGCAAGGGTGAGAGGGGGAAAGAGAATGATTTAAAACAGAAGCAGAGAGACTGCAATCGGCTGCACCTTGCAAGGCAGAAAGGCGCCACTCCTCTGTTTACTTTCTTGGTGATTATCTGCCAAGCATTGCAGGGCACATGTCTGCAAAGGTGAAGTCTTAAAATCTCTGTGTAAATGAATTTTACTGACATTCTCCACCAGACCCCAGGACGAGGTGGTCATTAAAAATGGCCGGGGTTGGGCCACTGATGAACAAACACGTTAAAGCAGGACACGGGAGATGGCCAGCAGGTGGGGGTACACCTTGGGCAGCTCCTTTTCTAGCCAAATTCCAGGAGAGGCCAGACGTTGCCTGGTCCGTGGATCACACTTTGAGAGGCAAGACTTGGGAGCGGTGGCTCTCCAGTGTCGGCCTGCAACACGGGCCCATCGCATGGCCGGTCGATGCACAGGTTTGTACCCACTGGATGCAAGGGGTCCGGAACTGGGCCTGAGAATGTGCGTTCGTAAACAGTTCCAAGGGGGCAGCGGATGAGAAGGGAAAGCTGCGGCCTGAGTCGAGTCCCGGCTCTTACTGGCCGCTCACAAGGGACATCTACCCCTTCTGCAGTGGTCTCCAATTACTGTCACATTACTACTGTCCTTTCCAGACACACACTGGGGAGGACACACTGTCCTACAGGCACCAGGAAGATCCCCCTGAAAGCTGCAGGGAACATACTCCTGGGCGCCCCTCCATCGTCCTGGCTCCTGTTCTTTACAGTGTTTTGAAATAAGATGCGAACGGATCTGGTGATTCTGGCCTCTCAACCCTCCTCTCTCCTCTTCTGCTTTCGTTCTGGCCGCCCCCGACTGACGCCGTTCCTCAGCTGTTCCAAGTTCCCTTTTACTCCTTTGCATCTTTGCCTAAATTTTCCCAATGCTTATAATAACTTCTTCCTGCTGGTTTTGTTTGAGACAGGGTCTTACTCTGCAGTGCAGACTGGCCTTGAACTCCTGGTGATCCTCCTGCCTCAGCCTCCCAAGTGCTGGAACTACAGGTGTACCACCATACCTGGTTTCTTCCTGTTGTTCTGCAGCACTCTTTGGTTCTTTAGCACTCAAGTGTGATCCTCTTTGGGAAGGTTTCCCTGATGAACTAGTGATCCTCAAACTACCCAGAGCCTGGGCTGGGGCTTTTCCTCCTCATCCCTCAGCAGGCTGACACCAGGGCAGTCAGTAGCTTGTGTCTCTGGTTTCCTGTGTTTGCCGCTCTGGTTTCATAACGCCAGGGTGCACACAGGTCCCACGTGGGGTCGTGAACGACTTTGAAAATCTGAAAGCAGCCTTCATACCGAGGTGACTCCAGTCTCCTATATAGGTATGCGCACATCAGTGCAAGCAACTCCACGGACAGTGACTTCCAGCCACACTGAGGGCCTGGAAAGAGCAGGGTCTCGAGGTAGCTACACACAGCTCTCAGCAGGAAGGGAAGTCACCCTGCGGGCCTTTGCCGGGTCACTGTGCAGAGGAAAATCTGTACAGAGTGGATTTGGGACAGATGAGCATGTACAGAAAATATTGGGAATGTATGGGAGGCAAAGATTCAGGGCTTTGGTCTCTCTCAGGAACTCACCCTTGAGTCCCCTCTTCTCCCCAAAGACAGCTCCTGTGTGGATGAGGGGACCCCCAGAGCTGCTGCTCCCGTCAACAGCTTAGTGCCTCATGGCTGCCAACACAAAGCACAGCCGAGCCTGCAGGTGCAGCGGCACGCAGGGCGGGGCCTCGGCAGCCGCGCACGTGCCCTGGGGTGTGGGGGTCCTCCTGGAATTCCTGCAGCCAGCAGTGAATGTGGCTCTACTGAGGAAGGCAGCACAGCGCAGAACCTCACTGGACAGTCATGTTAAAGACAGCAAAGCACTTGGAAGTGAAATAACCAAGTTTGAAGTATATGGACGAGCTGCTCCTCCCAAACGAAGTGACCATGCTAAAAGAAACAGTTGCTACTCAATAAGGGAAGCCAGGCGCCACACGTTGAGCCCTGTGGCTCATGACTACTGAACAGACAAGGAAACTGAGGATCAGGAGGGAAGGGACACAGAGGACCACAGGTCGGCGGGGGGAGGAAGTGCAGGTGGTTAACTGATGATGATTTAAACCTGCTCCACGGGGACCCCAAGATCCCCCCAGGACGCCACAGAGAAGGGAGGAAGGCTGGCAGAGTCCTCACAGAGGTGGGTGGCAGCTGCATGTCATGTATCCGAGTCTTTTCTGGGGTCAGCAAGGAGCCTGGCTGGAAGGGGGTGCATGCTGGGCTGGGCCACCGGGTCCCGCTTCACCTCTGCGCTCCCAGCCTCCAGCTCTCAGCTCTGCCCTGCGCGGCACCCTCTGGAGCTCCAAGATGGACTCCACTTCCCCTCCTCCCTGGCCTCTCCAGGTCTCCCCCTGAGGCCTGTGCGTGGCCCCAGCTTGGCAGCATTGTGGAGCAGCTAGAAACGGGGACGATGTTTACCAAAGCTAAAGTCCTGCCGCAGCAGCTGGTGGGTCTACAGGGAGGACCTGATGCTGGATCTTTTAATTAGAACAAATTATGCTAAAATTGCTCTAAAGCCCTGTCTGATAGATTATGTACAACAGTGGGAATTCCTTTAAATACCGGTGAACAGGCCACAGACAAAACGCCACTGGCAAAGCAGGCTGCAGCCAGGCGGCGCGCCCTCCACTCTGCATAACTCATGCTTGTACACGCGCGTCAAGACAGTTCCCAGCGTGCAGCTTGTCCCCCCAGAACAGGAGCTGCTGGTCCAAAAATGTGGGAAGAGGTGTAGGAGCAAGGGATTAAAGACGGGATGCCCCTGAATTTAGAGGGTGCAGTAGGAGCCCCAGAAACCTGACGAGCGGAAGGAATTAGCCATCACAACATAAAAAGCGCACTAGTGGCGGCCTGTGGGCCACACCATGTAGGGCAGTGTGACGGGGACACGTCTGATGCTGTTCCTTGGCCCCGCCATCCTGTGACCAAGTACGCCTGTAGACCCGGTTTCCAGATCTGTCCACTGGGGACGAGCGGCTACTCCCTGAGCAGACAGGAGCAGATGAGACAGAGCGGGTGAGGCAGCCTATCAGGGACAAAACGCCCCACAGACGACAGGCGAGGTGTGTGCCGCTGTCACTGCGTGCTCCACACGGACTGAGCGGCTCGGGCGCCACGCCCAGCCCCTGGCAACACGGAGGACCTGGAGGTGGCCGCGGTCTGTGGGGTGCGCCCCCTCTTACCACTGCTGATGGCCGAGTTTGCAATGACCGTAGCCTCGCTCCACTGGTCGGCACTGGAGACTGAGTAGGAGCGCTGGTGCATGCCATCCGGTCGGCTGTTGAAGGAGACCAGGCTGACGCCGCTTGCCATCTGAGACCCAGACGCACTAGTGACATTCCCTAGGAATAAACAAGTCAGGTGAACACCACGGCGATCTGCAGAGCACAGAAGCCAGCACGAGTTAAGTCTACGGGGCCGCAGGCTGGCACGAGACGTGGTGGCCACCGGGAGCCACTGCCGTCCTGCCTACGTGGCAAATGGAAGCATCACACGGCACATGATCAAGAGGTGCAAAGCAGTGACGCAAATGGTGGTGGCGCTTGACTGAGCAGTGTCAAGGAACCTCGATGGCTGTGTACAAAGCAATCCCGAAGCTGCGGGACCCTATCACCATCTCTAAAGACAAGAGACCCAGCCAGTGCTGGCACAGCATCACCACAGGGCAGCCGCAGGCCCTGGAGCCCGGCTGTGCCAAGCCAGCCACAGGATCGCACAGGCTCACCCCCAGGGAGTCAGCCGTCTGGGGCCAGACAATGACATGCACGGCACAGCTCCGCTTTAGGACCAACACACACCAAAGTCCCAGATGTGCCGTGTGGAGCTGCAGACTCTGACCAGAGACATTTTCTCTTACCCTTGAAAAGACCGAGCAGAAGGAGACTAGCCTTAGTGCACACGCGCTGGGATGGAGGTGATCCCATTGCATAACTACGACTTGCAGCAGTTGTTCAACATCAACATGAATTACCTTAGACTCCTAAACGTAATGAGCTTTCCTCCAGAGCTCAGCCAATCACACCTGTTGCTTGTGAACCAGTCTTGGATCTAAGTACAAGAGTTCAGAGGTATTGGGTTTTTTTAAAAAAACTTTCCTCCCATTGTTTCAGTTCAAAACCAATTAAGTCGGCCATTGTTCCAATGGAGCGTTTTCACAGCACCCAGTTTAAATGCACAGCCCGCGAGTGGCTCCTAAACCTGGCCAGTTACCAGAATTTCCTGTGCAGCTTTGTAAAAATAGAGGTCTCACAATCAGGGTTCTGATTGTGATTCAGAAGATGTGGGCTGGGGCTTAGGAGAATATGCCATTTCAGAAGTGCACCAGAGGTCCAAAGCAGCCAGGGAAGGAGCCAGGGCTCTCCCATGAATACGCCCCTCAGCGGATCAGGGCAGCTCCGAAAGTCAGTGGTCACTGATGGCAGCAGACAGCAGCACAACCACGCGGTCACTGAAGATACAGGGTCTCGACACTAAAACGTATTTTCCTACCTCGGAAAAAAAAGGTATCTGTTTCATACCATGGTGGGAACTGGGTACACGCTGAATGCCACAGGGAAGTTAGTCATTGGCAGGTCCGCCTGATTCCAGAAAAAAGCCGCAGATGACATGGAGGAAGGGAAGACTTGAGGGCCACAGCCCCTTCTGCTCACACAGCAGTGATGCTGCCTGGGAGTCTGTCAGAACCCCAGCACCCCAGGCCTCCTGGCACCGGCTTCCTAAGCCACCTCGGGATCCAAGTGCACACTGCAGCTTGAGCAGGCCTGCTACAGAGCTCAGGTTATTTAAAAAACAACCCAGGAGACAGTGAGTAACAGGAAACAACAATTACCGCGGGGCCTCTTCCCCTGCAGACTGACGTTCGGAGAGGTCCTCAGGGGCTGCAGCCCAGGCCTCGGTCTGGCCCCTCCCTCTTGGCACACCGCCAGCAAGGGTACACCAGGGTCCTGAGAGGAGCACTATGCACTCGCAGCTTCTGTATGCCTGGGTGCCACCAGAGCCCCTGGAGCAGCCTCCTGGATGTGGCGAGTCCTTCCATGCCCACGGCAACAGCACCCCGAGGGGGCACGGTGCTCACCTCTGCATGAGTGCCACGCTCTCTGGGTTCACATTGTGTCCCCTGCTCTGCTCCCCTCAGCCCGCTCTCCACCCAGGGGCACCATACTGGCTGAATTCGGAAGCTCGGCTCCCTTTGTGGCTCAGCCAATGAGCAGGAGACCGAGGGGACCATGAACTCGTGGTGTCTACCCCAGGCTCACCCCGAGGGTCCCCTTGGCTGGCTGTGCACTTCCCTGCCAGCCCATTCCTGCCAGCCCTGGCACACATCTTGCACTCTGTGCTTCTCTTTCCCATTGGATGGCGACGGCACGCATCCCCCCATCTGGGCTGCGCTCGGGACCAGGTGGCTCCCAAGAGTGCTCCCTCATCCACCCCACGACTTCCTAGCAGACAGAGGCTATAGGACACTGCTGATGGTTTACAGCTGCTTCAAGAGGAAAGCAAAGACAGGAGAAGAATAAAAGCCGTGAGAAGATACGTGCAAGCAAGATGATTTCTCTTTACGGTGACCCCAGTGGCTATGCGCCCCTCCTGTCCACAGGGACATTTGCTACGTGGGTAAAACGTCAGGGGGGTCAACAAGTGCGGCCCTGTCCACAGATACCGCTCGTGCATGCGCTCTCCCTCTTCCCCTCTCTTATGACATTGAGACTGGAACCCGGTGTCTTCACTGAGCTGCATCCCCAGTCCTTTTAAAGAACAACTTTATTGTGAGACAGCGTCTAAGTTGCTAAGCTACCCAGGCTGGCCTCAAACTCATGATCCTCCTGCCTTAGTTTCACAGAAGCTGGGGTTACAGGTGTGCACCACCAGCTTTAGGTTGATGCAAAAGCCAAACACCTGAAAAATCCAAAATAATGGTAACAGGACACTCCGCACCTGCCTCTGCCGTCTCCCTTGTTCAGTCCTTCCTGACGGTGGCGCCTCAGGACGCCCCGTCCAGCAACCTTCCACAGCGTCGAGCAGAAGTGAATTGAGTGTCTCTGTAACTATGGAAACAAACTCCAGAAAGATCAGTGTGTACCGAAGGACAACAACTCAATCTGAATTCAAGACAGAAAATGCACAAAATGTGCAGACATCCGGGACAGAGCTCGTTTTGTGTCCAAGGTCTTGGTGAAACAAGACACCACACTGCTGAAATGCGAGGGGTGAGGTCCTTCCGGGGCCCACACTCGTGCCCACTGGTTTGCAAACTTCTCACAGTTTGTGAGGCGAAATCAAGCCCTGTGACACCCGAGGACAGCTGTGACGCATCTCTGGCCATGGCTCAGCGCCTGCCTTCTGTCTCAGGGAGCAGGGAACTTCCTGGCTGGACCGCACACTCCTGCCACCTTGCTGGAAGAATCCAAGTCAGCCGGTTGGTCAGGTCCTTTGGAGGCAGTCTCAGGGCCTGGAGCTTGTCAAGCTTACCCACCTGCTCCCACATCCCAGCTGTGGGAATGTACAGAAACGGCAGGACCGAATTTTGGCCAAATCACTGTCTGCATAAGGAAAGAGCATTATTCAGGTAACATTTTAAGCCAGATACATACACTGCGGCCCGAGTCTAGCTTGAGTTCGCAGACGCGTTTTTGTTTAAGCTGGAGATTCCATTCAAAAATCCACAGTTTCTAATATCCCTTGGAAAATGAGAATGTGTGGCAGATGTGCCCTGTGTGTGTTCTTGAAAACAACGGGCTACCACCTCCACCTCTCTGAATCCCAGAATGCACACCGACGCCGGGTCACACCTGCCCCTCCCCTCAGCTGTGCGGGCCGCCGAGGGCTGGCCTTGTGATGTGAGTGAGTAAAGACAGACCTAACTCTGAGGCGGCCCCACGCCCAGCACCACGGGAGCAGCCGCCCTGGCTTAGGAGGCTGTGACGCTTCTGGCCGTGTGTGCTCAGTGCTAGGCCCTCGGTTACACTGAAGCATCGCTCTGCTTTGAGGAAACCCATAGCCAAAGAGGCCAACCACCCTCTAAAGCTCAGTGAGTGCTTTTAATGATACATTTGGAAATAAATTACGACGGGTCATCATTTCTAACGCTGATTCTTATATAACACACACACTAACGAAGTCGAAGGTGCAATTTCACTTCTGCTCCCGAGTGACTATCACTCATCACTTGGTCACGTCACACTGGCCCCGTGTCCTGTCTTCCCACCCCAGCACCCAGCAGTATCGACCTGTGGATTACCAGGCAGGGAGTCCTCCATGCTTCTGAAAATACCCAAAGCACAAAAGGAGACGTGATGCTTAAGATGGCTTTATTCTCTCTCAGAGGACTTGAGTGCTATGTTTCTCAAGTGGTGAGTCATTTCATGGTAACGAGTTATTAATTAAGGCTCAGAAGCTGAGGTTTTCATTTGCCAAAGCAGCTGATGGCTTTCTCTGACGGGCTGAGATAAGGACCTTGACCTCCAGACCCGAGCGGCCGCCACAACGTCCCCCACGCCACTAAGGTCAGCCTGATCCGCAGGGCCTCGCTCCTCACCACCAGGCCTAAAATCCACACCGCCATCAGCGGTTGATGGCTCTGGTGGTGCTGCGAGGAGTAGGTGCAGACCTCCACCCACAGGCTCCACCTGGCAGCTAAAGGATTTCTTTAAGACAAGGCCGGGGCTCTCGTTCCCCAGCGCCAGCATCACAAGAGGGCCAGGAGGACCAGAGCCACACACCGAAGACACCAGGAGAGCTGATGCGAAGTACGAACGTGCCCGAGCCGCCCACTCTACACTGATGGTGCATGTGGCCTGCAGAAGCCCGGCCTGCTCCTAGGTTGGCCCAGCTCTGGCCTCTGGGGCTTCCTTCCTCAGCAGGTGACTACTACCTAGGCACACCTGTGTTTTGCTCTAGAACTGTGCCCTTGTGGAACAGGACACAAAGCTGGGGTCTCTGCAACATGGAGGAAGTCCCTGCTCCACTCCCCAGAGGGAGACTCGAAAGCCAGGTCAGAACGCTCTCTTTCCATGCCCGGAGGAGGCGGGACAAACAGTGGGTTCCTACCCAACTCCACTCAGCATCACTGGGGAGGGGCCTTTAGAGGAAGCTTCTTACCGGAAACAGGGACGCTGGCTTCCCCTGGGGACAGACCCTGCAGGATAGATTCTGGCTTTCTCTTCTTCTCCTCACCCTGAGGCCTGGCAGGGAACCCCTGTACCCCACTATTGGTGGACAACAGCACTGCCCCTTCTTTGTTTTGTGTGATTTTGTGGGGACATCAGGGGACTGAGAGAGTGCATCTTCAGGGCAGGAGCTGCCCATCAGCTGGAAGAATACTGCCGCTTTCTGTGGCGAAGGT